ATATAAGTAAAAATTGTTGTGAATTTGATGGAGAATATAAGAGAAAGTGAAATATGAAAGAAAGGAAAATAAAGTGTAGAAAAAAATAATAGAAAGAATAAAATAAGAATAAATATGAGCAAAGAGTCCTATATAAGACATATCTTAGATGCATTTTTAAACATGGAAGTCATGAAAAAATAAAGAGTCACATGATATGAACCATGTGAAAGGTCATCCATAATCCATGTGAAAGGTCATCTATAACCTATGTAAAAGGTCATCCACAATATTTTATAACACCCATTTGAATGTATTCTACAATTCAACACACTATTAGTGTGATGATTATAGAATATATCAAAGGTCATGAAAAACAAAGAGTCACATGTTATGAACCATGTGAAAGTTCATCCATAATATTTTACAACAAAAATGAATTTTTCAGCAGTTATATGTTTTAACAGAGATTTTCATATATGCATCAATAAAAATAAAATTTTCTATTTACATAAGCATGTTATACATCCAAATTTGTATTGAAACATAATGTATACAATGCATTTTAGTAATTTTGTGGATAATAGTAACTAATTTTTTTTTTTGTAAAGGTAGTAGTTAAAGAAAATCAATGATTTTACTTTCAAATATATAGCATACTAAGAGTCGTTATTTAATAATGGTATTAAGATAATTTTTTCATCATTACTTTTAGTTTTCCACTATAATTGTTGTATTATATTATGACTCCCAGTGAGAAAATCTTTATTTGATGGCATCATTTAATTATAATTTAGTAAAAGTAGTAACTAAATTTTCAATTATGTTAAAATTTTGTTTACATTTTCACTTATGTATTTGTGTATAAATATTATTTTATTAAAAAAATAAATTATAAAAAATTTATAATTTATATAAAATATGTTAAGAAAGTGTTAAAAATTTATTTGTTAAAATATTTTTTAAAGTATTGAATATGATAAAAAAATTATAAAATTATAATTTTGGATGACCCGCGGGCTGACCCTAATCAATAGGGCTTTTGGCCTGTGCGGATTTTGACTATTGAGGTTCATTTGGCCCTGTGGGCTTTTTGGCACTAACACACATGGGCTAGGGCCAAATGGAACGGGTTGACCTATTTTGACAGCTCTATTTATAGGGTTTAAAAGCAGACATATGACATTTTTGTCCTCTAGTGACTTTTCTCTTCTATTAAGCATTCAAATGGGTTCGTTTTTTCTGCAGTTACTGCAGATAGTTATCTGCAGTAAGCATATACGACGTCGTTTTGGGACGGAAATCATGGTGTTTTTGTAATTTTAATTTATTTCAGGGTTATAATAGTCTTTATATTCATAATTTTTTAAGATTTCAATACCAAAACGACGCCATTTTGGGAATAAATACAGATAACTTATCTGCAGAAACATTTTTCCCATAAATATATTATCAAATATAGAGAGAGAAATGTTTGTCATTATAAATGACTTAATTTTGTGGCATATTAAATGAAATTATTGTATTTTGTTACTTTTTTATCTTCTCTTCCATTCATAATATTCTCTTTTTCTATGTTCTCGTGATTTTGTGAACAAGAAAGAAGGTAAAAAATTACCAAAATATGCCAACAAAGGTGGGCACAGTTGGTTAAGGATTTGGTCCATACCTCTCAAGGGCGTGAGTTCAAACCCCGCTGTCCGATGTGAGGACTTTGTTGGTGGGTGATATGTAATTCCTCACAGAAATCCTCAAAGAAGTTGGGGGTCTTCCCTGACCCTAGTGGGATACCGGTGTCTAACCCCTCTTAAACTTTACTTTTGTATTAAAAAAAAATTACCAAAATATGATAATTTCTCTTAAAATGACTCAAAGTTATGTCATTTAAAATGATAAATACTTTTCTTATATATATATATATATATATATATATATAATAGAAGTAACTATAAAAAGTAAAAAACCTAATTTTGTGAATGAGAAAGAAGGTAAAAAATTACCAAAATACGATAATTTCACTTTTTTTTACCTAAATACGATAATTTCACTTAAAATGATCTAAAGTTATGTCATTTAAAATAACAAATATTTTTCTTTTATATATATATATATTAGAAGTAACTATAAAAAGTAAAAAACCTGATTTTGTGAATGAGAAAGACGGTAAAAAATTACCAAAATACGATAATTTCATTTTTTTTTACCTAAATGCGATAATTTCACTTAAAATGATCCAAAGTTATGTCATTTAAAATAACAAATACTTTTCTTTTATATATATATATATATATATATATATATATATATATATATTAGAAGTAACTATAAAAAGTAAGAAATTCTTGTATTAAAAAAAAAAAAGGTAAGAAATTCTATAAAATGTTATAAAAAGAATCAAAAGATAAACTAGAAACCAAAAAATAAAAATAAAAAATATCACGGATAGGACTTAACAGGGCCAGAAGCTAAAAATCAACAGGCACTGTCTGATAATCCTTATCCTTTGAATCGTTGCTTGTGTCCAAAAGGGCAATACGAAAGGTGGCCTTCATAATTTGGGATTCAATCCAACAGATTGCGAACAATTTAAGCCCAAAATCACATTTGATCCAAAGGACTACTCAAACTCCTCTCGGAAAAGAGTGGGGAAAAAACATTCTTTAATAATCTGATAAAAGGTCATGCTGACTTTGTATTACATCTAAATGGTGTCATTTGAATCCAACAAAGAGTGTTAAGTGGGGTCACTTGAGCTTAAAAGAACTAGTGAATATCTATATGGCCAATTGAATACAATTTGTGACAAAAATGCTATGCAAGTGACATTCTTTCTACGATTAACAAGTAATTTAATATTAGTTCATATTTTTTTCTGAATTAAATATTTTTCTTCTTTAAAATGTGTTTCATGTTTTTATGAATTTACCCAAAAATATATTGATGTTTGATGGAGTGTGAATCAATGTAGGGAACAAAATATGATTATAATATTTGATAATAAATTTTAATTTAATGACATGTTCAACGAGAGAAAAAGATAAAGATTTTAATTATGAAAATAATTGATACGAAATGGAACCAAATTGTTTGTTTTGGTTATTGTGCTTTATTTTCTAAATAAGAAATTCTGAGTTTCATACATTTCCCGTTATGGATTGTTTTTGTTATTTTATTTATTTAATTATTATATGTATAATTTTATTTTAGATTTTGATATGATCTAATTTTTTTGGTGGCCGCTTGTGTTTTCTTTTCATTATCAACATCAATGAGATTAATTCACAGAATTAAGAAACATTATATCAAAATCTAAAATAAAATTGAGACATATTGATCCTTCTGGCTCTTTGTATTTGAAACCTAGCTGTGATTCTCATTTGCTCTTTTACACTCATTACAATATATAACCACATTATGGTTTCAGCACTATTCCAAAAAATGAATACAGAATTCGTCTTATTTTCTAAGCATTCATTTCAACAGTAAATATAATAAAATTACCCTAATTTTATTTTGATACGGTACACGAAAGAAAGTTTCTTTGCTCTTGACACTGCCTCTTGAAATAGAGGCTCTCACCCCCTAGGATGCTGAAACAAATGCATTAAAATATATTTTGATTCAAGGAACGCAGTTGGCTAAAACCCACCATAATCATTTTGATCTGCTTTTACTTTTTTTCTACTTTGATCCAATCAAGAAAGCCTCATCATGCGAGTGCGAGTGTGCAACTTTATAAAACATCACTTTTTCAAAAATGAAAGGTACCCTAAGTGGCTAAGTTTAACCCCAAAGAGGTGACATCTTTTTTCTCTTATTTAAAGTACCTTACCTAAAAAGCCATACCAGATTGGGTAGACGAAAATTAACACCCAAAACTCAAAAAGGATAAAAAGATAGACAAACAAATGGATTAAAAGGTAAATGGGATATCATTAATACTATATACCTTAAAACTCTAAATGTACAATAGAGGACAGCTGATTGTCTCCACATTCTTCTCTCTTTATGGAAGAGAAATTAAGATGAATTTGATGCTTGGACGTATAGACAGTCAATGGATTTTATTTTTTCCTGCGTGGTCCAAACGCTCCATATGTCCTCAAGATATTATTCCACGCGGTAAGCATCATAATTTCATAGTATAATATGGAAAACAAATTAATGTGAATTAAATAAATGATGGAACATGGTTTTTTCACCTTTTTGCCTCTCATTAATTATTTAATAACCATTTTGTCCCTTATTCAGAACTATCTATCAATTTGCTCCTCTTTAATCGATTAAATCAAAAATTTAATCGATTAAATAATCAAAATAGGAAAAAATCGTTGACTTGAAGATTTAGTCGATTAAATATCCCTAATTAATCGACTAAATCAGACATACATAAGGTTGTTCTTCTGATAAAGAGGAAGATTTAATCGATTAAGTTGAAGATTTAATCGATTAAATCTTCATTTGACCATTTAATCCATTAAATTTTTGATTTAATCAATTAAAGAGGGACAGATTGGTAAATAGTTTGCGATAAAGGGTAAAATAATTATTAAATAATTAATGAAAGACAAAAATGTGAAAAAGTCGATGGAAGAGAGTCAAAAGACCAAAGAAAATAAAAAATTGAATACTCCCAAGCGCGTTTCTTTGGACCCATTAAAAAGTTATGAAAGCTTGTATAAGGGCAAACATATAAAACAGAAGGATACTACTATTTACACGCTCAATTTAATTACAAAAACACACGTTACTAAAGATATGAGTGTAGTTTTTTTTTCTAATTGTTGCTAAGGGTATGAGTGACATTGCACAACATGGAAGTATGGATAAAAAAATTGTAGAAATATTGCCGTACAATTTCTATTGTAATTTTTAATACTTTCTAAGTTACTCGTCTTTATCATTTATATGCAAAAAAATCTTGCATAAATAATGAGATTTTTTTTATTAAAAGAATGATTTTCTTCCATTTTTTAATTTCCTTTTTTGTTTCTTTCTGTTTTTTGGTTTTTCTATTTCTTTGCTTTTGATTTCTTACATTTTCAATCCTTAATAAGTTTCTTGTTAAGGGAATCTTTGTTGTGGAATCTGAGGAAATGTCAATATGAAAATCAAGTAGTTTTGTTCGCTAGAATGAACGAGAAGCACTAGAGCACATGTTGATGGAAGATTTTCTCTGGGGGTTGATTTGAATGATTGTTCACTGTTCATACTTTACAACCAACCAAACGGCTATTCTGACTTTTTGATCCTGTTTCCACTCTCTTTGTTTCTGGGATCCTGTCTGTGTCCACGGGGTTTAAATCATTCAGGGCTTTGTGAATTGAAATTCAGATGTCAGAGTCAAGGCAAAACAAGATGATGAATCCAAACGTTGCCAAACAAGTTGGTGACACAACCTATACTAAGATCTTTGTTGGAGGATTGGCTTGGGAGACTAAGAGAGACACTCTAAAACATTATTTTGATCAGTTTGGTGAGATCTTAGAGGCTGTTGTCATCACTGACAAAAACACTGGAAGATCAAAAGGATATGGCTTTGTAACACCCACTCTTCTACTCCTGTTGCACATAAGTCTTTTACTTCTTGGTTTCCTTTTACTCCATTCACTTTAATCTTTGCTGTTTTTGTGTTTTAGGTGACCTTCAAGGACCCAGATTCTGCAATAAGGGCTTGCCAGAATCCCTATCCCTTGATTGATGGAAGGAGAGCTAATTGTAATATTGCAGCTTTTGGTGCACAAAAATTTGATCCATCTATACAAGGTCAGGTCTTTCACTTTCTTTGTTTTAACTCTTTTTTTTTTTTTTATGTAATTTTGTAAATATGACCTATATTCCTTGCATGCAAACCAAAGCAAACATGTTTATTACAATGGATAATAAGGTTGCACATTTTGACTCCTCTTATTGTGGCATTTTCCAACTATCAAATGTTTCAGGAAGGCAGAAATTCAGTAGTCCTTCATGGAATTCGGTACCAATCCCATTTCAAGGCACTTCCAATTATTATAATCAGCATATGCCCCACTATACATTCCCGAATCTAGCCTACAGGTATGCAATTCAAACATGTAAATACAAGCTGTTATATCTTACAAACATATCTAGCAATTCATCATGTTCTAAATGAACACTTCCCTCCAACATTCAGGTATCCTGGTTATCCTTCCCCACAAGAAATTTATGAAATGGTTAGTTTCTCAAGGAATATCTCTTTCATACCAGCTTTGGATTGCTAAGTGGATATCTGCTTGAAAGCTATGCTATTATCAAATTTGTACAAAATCATTGCAGTTCATATAGGGAGACAGTTTAATATACAAGGATGGAATAAAATGTACCCTCACAACTTTCTTATTTGAATTTTGGTGCTCTGCAGAACTACTATAATGTATATGGTGGACAGCAGCTTCCAATTCGCTTAGTTCCAGCATATAGCCAACCCTTTTATGGCCTTAGTAGACAGTTTATTCCAACAACATATGTCAAAAAGACACAGTTCCCTGATAAGTCATCTCAGGAGTTTACAGTTGTTAGCCTATCAGAACCTATTGCAGCTACTTCTTCAATTTCCAGCACTGGTTTAGTATCTAATCAACACCATTTTTGTTTTGACTAAAATTTTCCAAATGTTAACTAATTTCTAAGTTCTTGGTGCATTGAATTAAAGCAGGATTAATCACTGGAACAGCAGCTGCAACAGGAGTACTAGGATCCCCCCAAGAACAGAAACGTGATGAGGACTAGAAGAAAGAAAGAAAAGAAAAGTGACACTGCTCATTAAGCCAGAAAGCTCTAAGAACATGTCCAATGAGGTGGTCTAGCAAAGTAACTAAATCAAGAAATAAGGTGGTTTTTCATCCCTGGAACAGGTGATCTTGGAAGCTAGTTACTGATGAAATGAGTCATGGATTTGTTCATTATCTTGAATTTTTCTTTTGAGAATTATTATGCACATTCATCCTTCAGTTTTCCTTTTTAATTTTCTTTTTTAACATGGGATTCTTGCTACGTCATAGTTTAAAAAAGAAAAGGATAATTGCTTGTTATACTTATTTTATTCTTACACCTATATTTTGCATCCCATAGTACTCCCTATTGCCAAACCCAATTTTTGTGTTAGCTGAACTAAAATTGCAGCTGTATATCAGCAATTCTCTTTCCATACTTCTCAGATCATAACAATTTTACCTTTTTTTAGGTTTTGGAAATTTTTTTCCTCTTTGAAAATTAATCCGTAAAGAATGACAATGTATGTTGAAAATCCAACAGTTACATCTAGCCCCAAAAAACTCCAAGGAATTTGAAATTTAGGGGGTGTATTGGATTGAGATTCCAAAGGATTTTAATGAATTATTTTTTAACAAAAAAATCTATTGGTATTCAATTAGGATTTTAAAAGATTGAAAAAAAGTCACGTGGTATTCGATTCAAATTTTAAAAGATTATTTTAGAGTCCTTCCAAATCCGTTGGTATTCAATCAAGATTTTAAACAAACGAAAAACAAATATGACGATTTTAATAGATTTTTTATTAGTATGTATTTCGTGAAACTTTTTAATGAGAAATATAAATAGGATATCTCGCTTACAATTTTACCTTAACCTCTGGAATTTATTGAGATTTCTCTATTGCATTGACTTCTTCCTTTGGCGGGTTAACCCGCTTAAAATCAAGTTACGCCATGGAAGCTTTGTCAAATATCAAAAACAGCAGATTTTTGAGCAGTTTTCATCACAAAATAACTCAGAAACAACAAACCAACAATATTCCAATATAATCCATCTCAAAAACAGCAGATTTTTGAGAGCTTTTGAAAGTTTAAAAAATAATTTTCAAACTATGGGTCGCGATTTGTTTTGGCACAAAAATATGTGATTTTTGTATTAAAAACAACATAGAACAGTGGAAAAATAATAGGGGAATAAAACCTCAAATTAATTTTCATTTTATATCAACGAAATAAGATCGATTTAAAGAAAGATTAAAACTTTCATAATATTAACTTCATACCAATACATTCATGAACGAAATTATTTCGCTATATGAAACGATTTCAAACAATTTTTGTGTCAATAGATCACTAAAAACTTGTTTTTCAAAAGCCTCAAAGCAATTTAAGGTTTCAATATATCAATTGAAAATAATTTGAGAAATTTTCTAAACTTTCATGTAATAAACCCCAAAAATTCAAATTCAAAATTTTCTTAGAATACTCAATGAAAACATACATATGATATACGGTTAGAAAACTCTCATCACGCAGAACAGAAACCCCAAGGTTTCTAAGATCAATTGCAAAAAATTTCAAACGAAATTTTATCATGAACTTTAGGTTCTATATGCAAATTTAGAATTATTTTAATAAATAAAATATTGGGTCTTATGATCATGGAGAAGGTTATATTTACAATTTTTTTTGTTTACAAACTACATTATCTTCTCCCGGGAGAACACTGATTACACTATCTTCTCCCGGAAGAAGATAGTGTAATTTGTTAAAAATTTTAAAAAAAGTTTGTAAACGGATCCTTCCCCTATGATCATATATGTATAGTTTTGATATCAAATGAAGAAGATAATTTTTAACTCATTGATCAAATATAACTTTAGATATGTGAAGAGTGGTTGCTTAGTAATTTTGAATGTTTTTTTAAAATTATATTATGTATTACTAATTGAGAGAATTATATTATGTTTTACTATTTTTATTAATATCATTGTATTTTTTTTGTTATTTTTTTATTGACTCTTGTAATTTTAAGTGTTTGTTAAAAATTCATATGATTTTTTAAAATCTTATAAATTCATATTGTCTTTTCAAATCTTATAAATTCGATTAAAATCTTTTAAAATCAATCTTATGAAATTTTGATTGTAAAAAAAGTCTTTTGAAAAAGTCTTTAAAGTTCCTCTAATTCTAAATAGTCTTTTAAAATTTATAAAAAAAATTATCTCAAAAAAGTCTTTTAAAATCTTACTCCAATACACCTCCCTTAATTTTATAAATATTAATTTTTCTTAGATAGTATAAAATAAATTCGTTTTTATCATCAAAATTAGTATAAAAAAAAGACTTGAGTAGTATTTTATTTAAAAAATAAATAAATTGCTCGAATGCTAACTTCTAATTTGAAGTGTAAAGTATGAAAATTTCTTGCATAATCTTTGAGCACTCAAGTTGGGAGTATTAGACTTATTACAAAAATATTAATACATCATTCATTAATAATTAATTGTCAGAATTATTAATGTGTCAATAAGAACAAATTATCCCGTATGAATTTTGCTCATGACAAAATTATATTTAAATGCAAAATATTTAAATAGAATTTTATAAATTTTGACAGAGTCAACCAATAAATATTTCTTGAAATGTTTTCTGTCTGTTTTTTATCTTCATTTTATTTTACAAGTGAAAAAGTCACTAAAAGTGTGTTAATATTTTATAGACTTAATTTAATTAATTTCAAAGCATTAAGAGCATGTTTCGTAAAAGTTTTCCTTTTTCCAAAATCTTCCTTAAAATAATTTTAGTTAAAAAAGTTCTAACCATAAGATGGGGTAGGATATTATAACAACCAATTAAGGTTACTACCAATGTTACTACCAATCAATTCACCGTTAGATCGATTATGTGGATCAAACGGTTATATTTATTTCAATCTTTGTATGGTTATGATTTTCTATATTTAATGTTTTGCATTAAATATAGGAAATCATAATCATACAAAGGTAAAAATAAATATAAATTATTAAATATAAAAAATCATAATCATACAAAGATAAAAATAAATACAAGCGTTGGATCACCATAATCAATCTAATGATAAAATTAATTGATAATAACATTAGTAATAACTCTAATTAATTGTTAGATGCAATATCTTTTTCCCCATAAAATAAGTAAACCTATATGCACATTATGATAATGGAGAGAATTTACCCAAAAAGTGTACGTGGCTACATTGACTTCATAATTTGTTATGAAAAGTAAACAAAACTTTCTCTATAAACGGAGACTTTCTTACCTTGTTGTTATCCATTTTCACAACGCGACGGAAACAGCGTATAATCGTAAGAATAAGAATATAAATACCAATAAAAAGAAAGAATAAGAATATATTCTGAAACAATCAAATCAAATCATATTAAATTAAGGATAAACATCACAACGACTACATGGGTGGGTTTTTTTTTTTTTTTCCTTCAACTGATTATATACAAGGCTGCTATTGACATTATTTTTACTGTAGTTTTACGAAAAATAATCCAAAAACCTTGTGTAAGATAAAATTTTATTAAATATAAAGCCGCTCTTGACAGTATTTTGTATAAAATTTTATGTAAAACAAAAAATTAGAAGTCAGATTCGACTTGCAATCAGATCAACAAAAACGCGGTTCTTCTTGAAGACATGACGCCTGGTCACGGCCAGCCACCAAAAATTTAATATGCATATGTTGTGTGGTACGTTTTTTTATTCTTCTTAATAATTTAGTATAATTTATATTATGCAATATTCCTCTTTGTATGATAGTTATTAATACTTTTGTTGAGATTCATACATCTATTTGTTCATGTTGATCTTATGAGTGAATTTTATTAATTCGATATAATATTTTTTGCTAAAACTTTTTATTACACTAATGTAACAACTATTTAATTATATTTTATTTTTTTATGCTTACTTATGCATCATATAGATGTATTTTAAATTATTAAAAGTTATATGTTTATTTTTAAAATATAATAATGAAATTCAAATAAATAATAATTGAAGCGTGTAAATAAATGTTAAATTATTTTATTATGTATCATCTAATAAAATTAATTAAAATACTTCATTTTCTCTCTTATTTTTTTTTTATATTTTCATTTAATGCTATCTCGGAGAAAATTAATATCATACGTAAATTATTACGAAAATAATTATGCATATATTGTATATAAAATATTATAAAAAGAATCGATATATGTGATACATAATTTATTATAAAAAAGAATAATTTATACATATAATTTTTTATTATATTGTATCCTAGATGATTGATATAATATTTATAAATACGCATAATTCTTTCTATATTACACATGATACATGCGTAATTTTTTCGTAATAATATTCTTCCCTATGTAATAAATAAAGAAGCAAATTCCAAAAAAAAAAAAAAAAATAACGAAGAAAAGTAAAAATTATAAGGCTATAGAATTTCTTTCCAAACATTTTTTCTTCTCTATACCAAATAAGCAACCCATCCTTCTGTCCTCTCCATTCTTTCCACCCAAATTTTGCACACTGCCTAACATCTGAATGAAGTTTCACAAAGTAGACTATAGATAGCCGTCATGTGTTACGAAGAGAAGAGTTTATTTTAAAAATCTATATTCTCAATCAATTTTTAATTATTTTAATTTATATCTTGATAGCTATTTTTTTATACATATATCTTGATAGCTATTTTTAATTATTAAAAAAATGTACTCTTCTTAATTTAATTGTTACTTAACATATTTGTAGAAAACAATACTGACATAATATTTTGATATACAAAAATTGTACAAAAATAAACCTGAAGGTTAATGTGTATTTCATAAGTTATCAACTTGAATGAATTGTAAAGAAATTGTATGGGGTCCTTAGATCCTGTAGAGTTTGACAAAAAGAAGAAAATCAACAAAAGATAAAGGGATAATTAATTACATTAAAAAGAGAAATAGTATTTTTAAAATAATATCAACAAATTGGATATGATCACGCAGACACTAGAGTCAAACACCAAACGTAACGCAGCTTGCGACCCCAGCGCCCACTATTCTTGATTTTACTTTTGTTGGGAGTAAATTAAATTCAACTAGCCAGTTTTTTTTTAAACTTTCAAACTAGAGTTTTGAATATACCTTCACAACATTTAAATTAATAACTATAGATTTCATTAAAAGAAAATTATATAATAAATAAATAAATCATAATTGGCCATAACTATTTATGATATAACTATAAACACTTCAAATCAATTGTGGCAATTAGAATGCTAACTTCTTTCCTTTTGTGAAAGAAAAAAAAAAAGTTTAGAGAGAGAAAATGGTCTCATTCTAAGATCAAAACATGCCACAAACGATGAAACTAAGTAAAAGCTTCGAAGCGTTATTAAGAATAAAATAGTAGGGAGTTGAACTATAATGTTGCTAGAGAAATACATGGATGAAATTGATAGCGGAGAAATTGAGAATATGTCAAGGTGATATTGATATAAATTAAAAAAGGGAAGGGGTGACTCAATCATTGCAAAACCAAACAAGGTGACCCCAACCTACCTAATGGTTGCTGTGAGAAACTAGTAACCAATGCTATCTTAAAATAAGAAAACATAATAGAAAGCCAACACTGAGGGGGTGTTTGTTTCAAGTTTTTGGAGAGGATTACCGGTAATTCTTCTTTAGTAAATGTAATTACCACTAGGAGGAATAAATTACAATTCTCGGATATCCAAAGATTACCGGTAATTTGATTTATAAAGAAAAGTCACTATTCAAATTACCAAAAATAATATGGTAATTCGGAATACCAATCAGAATACCAAGTAAAAGGAAAGCACAACAATAAATTTTGAGACAAAAATACCCCAATACACATAAAAATCTAGACCCGATCTATCAATTACAAAAGTAAAAATAGTTTGGGGTTATTTTTGTAAAATAACCTCATATTCCAAGTCATATTTCGTTCTAAACTAAATATGGAATCAGTAATTTTTACCCAATATTCCCGGTAATATTTTGGAAGATTCAAAGTAAACTCAATTTCTACTGTATTCCCATCAATCATGATTCCCGGTCACCAAAAAATTTCTCTTGTACCAAACACACCCTAAAAGAGGTGGCAGCGGTGATGTTGACTCTTGGTAATAGGCATGCAATATCACAAGCAATTTTCATATAGGTCCAGGGGTTGGCCCGGTTATTGTACTAACGATAATGAACAAAGCAAGGGTTGGAGGGGGAATCCACCCCACCAGTCCACCACCATCTAATGGTGGGGTTCCAATGGTGACGCAACATTAAAACTATAAGAAAGACAACAGAGAATCAGCCACTACTTAATATAGCATATGGAATTGAAGACTGCCAATCAAACAGCTCATGACTAACCAAAGCTTTGTAACATGTTTCTTTAAATAAATCCCGGATGTTAGAAACATCCAACCATAAAACTCTCTCGTTGCAAGATCAACTTGTGCATCATAAATTAAGCCATGAAGATATCCTCGAAGTACCATCCAACTCTACAAGCTAAATAAACAAATAACCCATAACCACAAGGGGAAACAAAGGTACCATACTGCAAGACACGAGGACAAAAGTATCAACTAAAGCCACAGGATCCTTAAATATATCTGTTTCTATGTATGTATATATGTAGATATATCTCATAGCGGAAATCAACCCCCGAAACATGGAAGGACAATTCAGTGCATAGAAGTACGAGGAGCACGAGACCGGACTGGTGTCTTTGATGGACTAACCCTGGATACCAAACATAAGAATGGATGAAGAGACATCATTCAAAGAGTTTCGGAAGTTTTAGGACAGTTGAAATCAAAGAGAAATTTATGAATCCAACCTTATAGGCAGTGAGCCCAAAACCACACCACTACAGCTTAGGGCTGCAATTGCACTCTCAGCCTGAAAGAACGAGACAGAGAAAATCTTCAGACAGCAAAATAGAAAAAGAAACAGGGCAGAACAATCAGTAGCCAAAAGTATTTTGAGGCAACTGTTAATACTTACCTGTAAGGACAAGTGCACACCATAAATTCTTAAAAGCAAAAGATTTGATCAATTTCAAAGATACAAAGAAAGAACTTTTAAGAATTTAAATCCTTCTTGCATTATGGCATTTTACTAGGGGAGTGAAGATCAGGACCACACCACTTAAGTACAGAATCAATTGCACAGATGTATCATACAAAGAGAGAATTTGAAACTAACTGAACCAAGATGATACATAAATGCAGAAAGTACACAAATAAAAGCAGCAGCAGCAGCTTATTACGTCTGCGGGACAAAAGTCAACAAAACAATTTTGAACATAGCCAAAAGAAGATGATGAAAAAAGAATAACAGGCGATTGGAGGGAGAGAGGGGGGGGGGGGGGAATCAATATGGTTTGAAAGATACTTGTGAATAGCGCCGCTTTAGCGCGCTATAGTGGAGTTGCGTTGCAGTGCGGCGGCCAGCCGCCTCAGACCGTGCCGCAACGGTCAGGCAAAGTGTAGCGGCTGTAGCGGCCACTATTGCAGTTGAAATCGCAGCGCTATTGTGCCGCTATAATAGTTTTTGCAAAAGTGTTCTTGTTGTAGAAGGAAGAGAGCTGTTGAGCTAAGACAAGAGATCAGAGGTGTCGATCCTCAATTTTAGAACCTTCTTCAACTTCCGAGACAAACCTTAAGTTCTTTGATTTTGGCATTTCACTTAAGTGGCAGTTTGAATTTTGACTAATTTTGCCACTTTATTTTGTTGTGTTACATTATTTGAGACTTTAATTCCTTCAATTTACTTATGATTTGAATTTTAATGTTGGAAATCATTTATTTGAGTTTCAGATCCTTCAAAATTGTTTTTTATGTTACATTTTCATTTTTTAAGTTTTATATTTGTGGAGTACAATTTAGTATATCACTTAGGTACACTTTTGCACAGTAGCATTGTAGTGCTACCCGCTATAGCGTTATAGCAGTTTGGAGGTTTAGCCGCTACGCGCTGCTATCTGAGATTAATAAGTATGGTTTGAAACAAGAGACACCGTCACATGATTCTTGAAAATCAAACTGTTCCTTATTGAGCAAGCCTAAGTACCACTGCCCTTTCATGGCCCAAAGTTAGCCCCCACCATAAAAAATATTGCAAAGGATATGCATCCCTTAACCACTAGATCACTGAAGCATCATACTGTAACACATTACATGTAATGCGTAATGAGTAATGAAGCATAAAAAACTGCATTTATCCATTTGGACTTCTAAAGGTGACAAGCACTCTTAGGTACCATATCAAAGACCATCAACTGCCTCTTATAACCTTCCCCATACACATCAATTTTCTATCCCCCTCTTTTCTTCCCTCCAGCTGCTCTAATTACACATTAGAGCACTAGCTATGTCCAATGCAAGGCACATCAATGAAGTGGATTTTCCACCTCCATGCTGTAGCTTAAAGCAAGCAATTATAGAGACAAGAACTAATGAACAATTATAGTGATTTTGGTACTCAATCCATGGATGAATAAAAGTGCATACTGCACCCATCCTTCTCTCATGCAATCCATGGATGAAAAAAAAAGGAGGTGAATATTGTAACCATCATCTCATAAAACGTGGAGTTGATTATTTCCAAAGGAGGATCCACCTAAAGCCATTTGACATTATTATCACCCAATAAATAGGTTCAAAACTGAGGGATACACTCAGTCCAAGATTCAATTAACCACTTTTACTTTGTATGATCAAATTAACCATGACAGCCTATTTCCACCATATTATGTTCACATAGTGGTTCTACTTCAATTTGCAAAACATTTCCTATAAACAAGGAAATAAACAAGCATTTTGTGACGAAACATGTAAGATAGAAAGGTTTAATGGCTCCCAGAAAAACTAAAATTTAGCAAACTTCTACAAAGTTTATCAAACTTTCTACCTTGATTTGTACATAATAAAGTAGCATTCCTCTTCCACACACATGCATATAATATCATCAGAATTTATTTTTTAGTGGGCGGTGTGGAGTTACTATTGCTAGGAAACACAATTATTGGCAGGAGAGTACCCACAAGAAGTACAAACAGAATGAAAAAATTTACGGAGGGGAGGGGGAAGGAGGAAAACTGCATTACTGCAAAGTCAGCAATGGCACTCAATCTGGGGGTTATAAATTCACAAAGAGATAGAGAACATAAAAAAATAGCTAAATAAACCAGAGTTGACTCAGATAAATATGAAAGGTTGAAAAGTTATTACGTAATTACCACTGTGAACTCAACAAAAGCAATTCGAGTTGAATGATGGTAATCCCCAAGAAGCCTCAGCCGTTGAACCTAGATGAATACAAAAAAATAATGGAAAATATCTTACAACATGCTTAAATGCAACCAATAACAAACAAACAAGCATTGAACCTAAATGAATATACCAAAATGATAAAAAGTATCTCATAAGATACTTAAAATTCAATACAACAAACATCCATGAAAAGCTACAAACCTCTCCACAAATAGATTCAAAGAAACGTTTGACATCAGCTTGAGTAAGCTGCAGCAGTAAGAAGAAAGGAACTTTTAAGAATCATGAGCCATATTTGATGCAAAACAGACAAGGAAAAAGACCAAGCAGTTCCTCCAAGCAAGATTCTCATAAAGGGTCAAATCCTAAACTACCTTCTTGTCGATGTTTGTGCAATAAATTGTTCTTGAGCACATCTCCCTTTCATCTTCAGACTGAGAAATATAGCACCATTAGAAAGGTAAGACAGAAAAGAGACACATTATTAGCTCACTCTGGTCAATTATCTCCTAAAAAAGGTAATAGGCATCTAAATATTACCCTGGGCAAAAATGTCGGATTAACAGGTGCGATGGCAGTTTTTGAAGGTAGCACTCTCAATGGGTAATATCCAAGCATGGTTCCAGACAGGTTCAAAGCAGTCCTTGCACCTTCTGCAGGCATAACACTGTTAATGCAGTGAAATGTCAATAAAAACTACAGCATAAGAACGACATATACTTCTTGATGACGTTACCTTCATCTGTAAACTCAACGAAGGCAAACCGAAGAATAGAATTAGGATCCCCACATACACGGCAATCAACAACCTAAGGCCAGGAAAAAGGAGTCAATTTAGTAACACGGTCCACCATTATTAAGAAGCAAACACACATCAAAAACAAAACAAAGCCGTTTCTACCTGGCCACAGTTAAGAAAGAGAGCTGCCAGCTGCTCTTCGGTAACCTAGATTACAACAGAAAATGACAACCCTTCAAATAAAGACACATGTTTGCAAGCTAGTTGAAATGAGAGATCACAAGACAGCTAAATTATGTACCAGTTGATCAATGTCAGACACATAGACGGTCCTCCTAATCATCTCTTCTCTTTTCTCCATATCTATTTTATGATTCACTCTTCGCTTCCCATTATTATAGCCGTTCTTCCTCTGAAACACATTGTTATTATTATTATATTAACAAATTTGAAACCTTTAAACTAGCAACATAGTATTAGAAACCAGCAGGAAAATAATCAAAAGAAATGAAAACAATTTATTCATACCCTTCTGTTAGTTTGGCCGTTAGCATTACCAAAATTATTGAGGAGTATAAAATTGTTAGGGTAACCAAACCCAGCACCAGGTCCAGCTAAGTAGCCATTATGATTTGTTAGTCCTGTTGGCACAAATTCCTCAGCCATGGGATTCAACTTTGATAAAAGTTCTTCCAAATCCCTCATATCACGCTTGAAAGACTCGCTCCCGTTCTCCTCATTCCCATACTCATCATTGTTCACCACCAATTGCTGGTTCTGGACCCCATTTGCGTGCATCTGACCCATTTGAGCCTTGTAGTTGTAATTATTGTTAGGAACTGACAAAGTGCTCGGAACTCTATCATGGTGTTGGTGATTGAACACACCGTTGTTGTTGTTGTTGTTGTTGTTCAGATTCTGATCACCAGTTCTGGGTTTCGATTTCTCCACCTCACTCGAGTCCGATGACACTACACTGTTGTCCAAATTCTGACTGGAAGAACCGATTTTGGCCCCAACATTCTCAGCAACCGCCATAATCACTCACGTGGAGATGAAAAGTTTTAATCTTTAATCTCTCCTACCAGATTTTTCTGCGAATCTGTGTTGGGAATTGTCAAGAGACACTGGTAAAAACAAAATAATAAATGACCCAGAAAACTAAATTCAACAAACACGAAAAAAAAAAAAAAATACCTGAGTTTTATCTAATAATTGTTCATTGAGATAAGATCACACTGACCTGAAGATCATGAGGTACAAACTAACCTTAAAAACCCCCACAAGATAAAAATTATGCATATAAGAAAAGGGTGAAAGGGAAGAAGGTTTATCTTACTAATTTACTGAAAGAAGAAGGAGAAGATGATAACTGTAGAGAGATGTGAAAAGGGTATTCTTCGGATCGTCCGTTTTCGATGCACTGACTTTTGGACCTTCCTGAGAAGAACGTCCCAAATTGATGTATTGATGATGATGATGATGATGAACGTATCAAAAGAAAAAAGGAAAAAAATAAAAATAAAAAATGGACCCGAATTTTCTTGAAATTCCATAATTGCCCATTCACACATGTCATCCATCATACATTTCAGTACATCATGCATCCGTAGGGGAACATGGTAAATCAGACAAAAAGGTTGGCATGCCATGGGATTTGACAATTTTAAGAGTTTATTTAATGAGTCACTTAACTTTTATTTAAGAAAAGTGTAATGAATTTTTTTTTTTAGATGTCAAGAATTAAATACTCAGGGGAAGATGGTTTTTTTGTCATGTAATATGAATAAACAATTCCCCGAATTTTTTACACTGAAAATTTTAACCTGTAGTTGTGTTCTGCTCAAGGCAAGTTATTTTTAAGGTTAGAAATTTAGTTGAACTCAAAAAAAAAAAATTAATATTTTCAATTAAAAAAATAAATTATTGGATCAATATTCTTTTTTAAACATTGGGGCAGGTTATATTTACAAACTTTTTTGCTTATAAACTCTTACAAACTACACTATATTCTTCTGGGAGAATACAAACTTTTACAAACTACACTATGTTCTTCCGGAAAAATATAGTGTAATTTGTCAAAAAATTTAAAAAAGTTTGTAAGGATCGTGTTCCTTAAACATTAGTTACATACACATCTGATGCGTAATTAATTGTGCAATTAGTTACATACACATCTGGAAGAAATTATTCTCCCATTAAGTATACATATTTACGTGTACAACTAATTGATTAAAACATTTTAAAATACAATTATATGATAATTCACTTTTCAATCACAGTTATAAAGTTTTTTCCCGCATAATCATCTTTTATTATCATGACTAAATGTATTGTATGTAATCTGTTAATAATAAAAAGTGCATAAATTAAGATCATGAATCAATCGAGAAAGAATATATTTAGAATATTCCAATAGTCATATGCTCCCAACATATTTTTAACATTTTTGTGCTGGTTTTGGAAAGAATAAAAAATAACAGTACTGATACAATCAGTTACCTAAATTGGAATATATTTATCATTTTAAAGTTAGCTTTTGGTTAATCATTTATAATTATTGGACTTGCTTAAGAGCTAGGTAAAAAACTTTATAAATATTATATCATTTTTACCGGGGAGAAACGTAATAATCTTTAGGTCTAAATATGCACACAACACTTCTATCTAACCAGTATTTTAGGGATAAAAATTATTTTTCTTTGACAATTTCAAACACTAATTTAAATAAGCTTCAGCCTAAGAGGTTGTTGCTAATGGTTTTGAATATGAAGCTGATAATGGTGATTTTGAATATTATAAATTTCTATGGTAAAATATTATTCAACGTAAGATGGTAGCCTCCTAGCTAAACACAATAAAAAATAATTATAAACTTGAATTCTGTTTATATTAATTATTAAAATATTTTTATAAAATTCTTAAATTTAAATGTGAATGAATTATCTCATATTAGAAGATACATGTAAATTGACCTAACTCTAAGTTGATCACCATTTTTAAATAAAAAAATAGTAAAACAAGTAAGTTATTTGATAAAACAAAATCCTAAATACTACGAATCGATTTCGCGTAGGATATTTATATTATCATTTTTTTTATTACTGCTCCACCACGATTCTAATCACCCTTAGATTTAAAAGTTATTTTTCTTTTTTCTTTCTTCATTCAATTTTTTCTCTAATTCAATGGTGATTATAATAGTAGTGGGGTGATAATAAAAAAAATGATAATCATACCTCTTGTTAGACTTAGTTAGTCGAAATTGTGGTCTCTTTAAAATTTAAAGAAGATCCAAGTTAATCTCTCAAAAGGACTAATTAACATGAATCTATTTTGAATTTTAGAAGGATCACGAATCGACTTTTTTTTTCTTCAAATGGATACTCCATGATATTTATTTAGGGCCCAAAAGATACTTTAATCACAATTATTTTAAATAGATCGAATATATAAAGGAATACTAAAGATAAGTTCTATCTTTTAAAAACAATTACTTTTTTACTTTCATTTAACTCATTTTTTGTGAACGAATTCAATATGATACATTTAACAATTTTAGCACAAATTTAAATATCGTGGGTTAACATGTGTGCCTTAAAATTCATACAAGAAAAAAATTTAGGGATCCAATTACAAAGTTGTAAAAATTAATAAATTCAATTACACATTTCTAATCTATAAAAACTTATTTAATTTTTTTCAATATATATCAGGATTTATAAAGTATTTTAACCTTGAATTAAAAAAAACTTTTTAAAAAATAAACCAACCTGTCATAATTGAATCTTACACTATTATACTTGCATAAAGTGAACCGTTGATTATGTTTGGATTTGATATGAATATGTACAAAACACAGTTTTAGCAAGTTACGAAAAAAAAAAAGAAAAAAAAGAAGAACACGGTGTTAGTATTTGTATGGATCTTGATTGTCTGCACGGTAAAACATTTTTTTAAAAAAAAAAACATAATTTAAAAATTTGCAACCGTGCCGTAGAGTTACGTATCTAGCTGCAGAGGATCAGCATCTCGATTTATATCTGTGTTGGGATATTTATATATGACTAGAGAGAAGATATTAGAGGATAAATATGTCACGTATCTATTTTAGACTTGATCAACCAGATTCTTTTTTACACATAATCGGTTAATAATAATAATAATAAATTAATATAAAAAAATAGTATATACCCCTAATGGTAATTAAATGAAAAATGTAAATTAAATATAAATAAAAATTAATGAAAATGGAAATTAATTGAAAACTACATGAGTCAGCTATAGCAGAAATTTTCCATTCCAAGTTGGGCTTAAAAAAATAGTAGTATATATCCTTAATGAGAATTAAATGAAAAACCTAAGCTAAATGAAAACGGAAACTATATTTTTAACGAAAATTAATTGAGAAATGAAAAATAAATGAGAAACGAAAACTAAATGAGTCAACAATAGCAGAATTTTTCCATCCCAAGATGGGCTCAAAAAAATAATAGTATATACTCTTATTTGGAACTAAATGATTGACCAATTGTTGAATGATTTAAGTAATGGCCAAGTCTTGGGGAGAGTTAATGCATATAAGTCTACTTTATCCCTCCGTTTATAATTGTTTGTCAACTAACGAGCATTTTCACAAAAGTTCATCTATAATTTGCTGTTGCTTATGGATATTTCTTTTATTATATTTATTTTAGATGTTTGTATTGTTGAATTTCAAAAAGCGAGGACTACCTCATTCATGCTCACATTCTTCTATTTCTACATCCGCATGATAAACCATCAAATCCATCCGACATCGATTCCCTTATTTCTACCAAAATTCCAAATCCAAATGATAATCTTGCACTTTATGAAGTTGTTAAGAATTTTGTGATACATGGTCCATGTGGTCTAGCAAACCTAAAATCACCTTGCATGAATGATGGGAAGTGTGCTAAACATTTCCCCAATAAATTCTTATCTAGAACTATAATTGATGAAGAAGGTTTTTCTCGTTACAAAAGGGGAGATGATGGTATAATGGTAAGCAAAAAGGGCGTCCATATTGATAATCAATATGTTGTCCCATATAATGCTAATCTACTATTGAAGTATCAAGCTCATATTAATGTAGAATATACATGCCAAAGTATTCTATAAAATATCTATTCAAGTACATATGCAATGGCAATGATTGAATTACAGCAAGTCTTCACCATTCTATTACAAACAATCAAACAGCGACAACTGCTGATAAAATCAAAATGTTTTATGATTGTAGGTATGAGCAAAATATTTCTTCCTCACTCTATCTAATAGTATGCGTGATAAAATTTTAATTACGTAGATATATTTCTTCATGTCGATATATGTATGTGTTCGGAGAAATTCTTAATGTAGATATATTTCTTCATGTGAGGCAGTTTGGAGAATTTTTGGCTTTGATATTCATTTTAGATATCCTCTAGTGCAAAGGCTGCCATTTCACCTTCTTGATCAAAATTATGTTGTGTTCAACGATGACAACTCAATTACTGAGGTTATGACAAAAGCTATGGAAAAAAATCAATGTTTGAAGCACGGATTGAGGCTAACAATAAATATGAAGAATTAAGACATTTAATATATCAAGAATTTTCAACTAAATTTGTCTACTAAGAAGATACCCGTCAATGGCATCCTAGAAAAAGAGGATTTTCTATTGGAAGATTAAATCACGTTCTGCCAAAGAATGGAAATGATTACTACCTAATGATGTTGTTGAATACTCAAAAGGTTTATAAGAGTTATGGAGATTTGAGAATTGTGAATGATGTCATTTTTTACGTTCAAAGAAACCTGGTATTCCTTATGTTTCTTGGATGATGGCAAAGAATACATTGATGCAATTAAAGAAGCAAGCTTTTTAGGCATCTGGACATTATTTAAAAGATTGTTTGCTTTGTTATTGTTTTTGCAACAATATGTATAGACCTGAATTTGTATGGGAAAGTTGTTGAAAATTTCTATCTGATGATATCTTATATCCCCAATGAAATAACATGAACCGCCAAGATATGTCTAAATTTATCATCATTTTTTCTTTGAATAAATCAAAAATACGTAACTGAATATCTTTATCTTAATTTGTTATATATATTTGGATGATTCTCTGCAGATTTGGTAATGGTTGATAAAGAGATTAAAAAAGTTACTTTTGCTGAAATTGAAACTTGCTTACAATGTAACGGAAAAAGTTTGTCTAATTATCTTGTCCTACTTGTGAATCTATTCTTGATGTAACTAATAAGTTGATACTTGATGAGTTGTCTAATTATAGAAGTTTGTTGGCAAAAGAGCATAAATGTTAACTTGCATGCCTAACAGAAGAACAACAAAATGTGTACCATAGAACCATGGAAGCAACATTTACAAATAAAGGTGGATTTTTTTTTGTATGATTTTGGAGGCACGAGAAAGACTTTCATATGGAAAACATTGTCTACTACTTTAAGA